GGGTTCCAGGGCTCCCCTGAACCTCTCCCATCCTTTTCCATCGCTGCTCCAGAAGCGTTTCCCAGGGCAGGGGCTGCAGGGCTGGGAGCTGCTGCAGGAATGGAGCCCCTGGGACCAGCTCAGGGTTTTGGTGCTGGGTTTGCTGGGTCACTTCTGCTGCTGTCCGAGGCTGCGGCTCCAATTTCCTGCCCCCAGCCCCAGGAGCTCTCCCTGGGCCCTGCAGGAGGAATCTTGTTCCCGAGCTACAGGAGGAATCTTGTTCCCGAGCTACAGGAGGAATCCTGTTCCTGAGCTACAGGAGGAATCTTGTTCCCGAGCTACAGGAGGAATCCTGTTCCCGAGCTACAGGAGGAATCCTGTTCCCGAGGTACAGGAGAGCATCACAGAAAACAAGCTGTGCCAATTCCCTGCGTTTGGATCCTTGATTGTCACAAATCTCTTCCAACAAACAGAACCAGTGTGAAGCCAGCCCTGGGTTTGTGCACTGGAGAGAATTCCAGAATTTCTCTCTGAGCTAAATCCGTGAAATGAATCAATTCTTTTTTAAAGAGGATTTAAAGTTAATTAAGAAATGGAAGCGTGTGGCTATAAAGGAGTTAGATTTGGTATAGCACACATATATAACGCTCCTATTTTCCAAGGAGATCCAGTGGAAGGCCACATTCCCTCTGTGAGGTGCTTAGGTTGATGAGAAACCCATTTGTAAGGAAAATTGGCTCTGGAAACAGTTGAGAGTGAACGGCTGCTTGTTCTAAAGTCGCTGCCAAGTGATTGATTCAGTCCCTGGGTTCATCAGATCATTGCTTCCAATAATATCATTTTGCTTATTTATTTTATGGAGGATCAATATGATAAATATTGCAGCACCGTGGGAGTGCCAGGGAGATGATTCCGGGGTGGTGAGGGGCTCTGCAGCCGCTCCGTGTGCCCCGTGAAGCAGAAAAGCAATTCAGTCTCACCAAAGGCTACAGACGAGGCTGGATGTTCTCTGCAATAAATGCAAATTATTGGAATTCATTTCGCTGCTAAGAGGAGAAGAGAGAGGGGGGGAAAAAATTAAAATTAAAGCTAAAGATGTTGCAGATCAAGGAGTTCAACTTGAGGCAGACGCAGAATTAACATAACAGAAAACAAAGCAATAAAGAGAGGGGGGAAATAGATTTCACTAAAATAATCTGGTTTAATGAATAGGCCGTGATTTATTTCTGAAGTGCCTCTCTGCGGTGGTGGCTTTCTCCTCCTGTTTTTTAGAGCACGCACAATGGCATTCTGGCCCTGCTGCAATCAGTCTGCGCGAACAGCTTGTAGATATTTGGCTGTGCACTGGCCCATGAGAGCAAATCGTCCTCCCTCATCGTCAGAGACTTTCTTTTCCAGTTCCTTTATGAGGTGACAAACGGTTCCCTTTCCTTTTGTTCTCCAGTGCTGAGCTTTCCTGGCTCTGCTTGGTGATTTTTGTTGGGTTTGGTAATGACCTGTGCTCCTTCCTGTTGGAAATGCAGGTGAGCCCGGTGGGCAGAAATGTTGGTGGCTGACTCCAGCTCAGAAGGCTGAATGATTTCTTTATTATATCTATACTATAATACATTAATATATTATTTAAAGGAGATACTAAAACTACAAACCTACTTTTCTAACTACCAAATCTAACTCCCAACTCATGACCCTGTCTAAGAGCCCAGCCACATTGGATTGGCCACCAGGCTCCAACAACCCTCACCAGAATCCAACCAAGCCATCACCCCAGGAAAAAAATTCTCCCGACTTGTTCCACACGGGAGAACAAGGAGCAGAAATAGAAATTGTTTTCTCTCTTTTTTCCCTGTGCTCCTCTGTGAAAAGTCCTGAAAGAGAGGAGAACGTGCCTGGCACACCTTTCTCTGCCAGGGCTGGGGCTGGGCAGGTTCCCAGCCTGGGGCTTGTCCTGCACGAGGGATCCCAGCTGGGATCTCCGTGGGCCTTGGGGAATTCAGCAGGAAGGAAATTCCCTCCCGAACGGGCACCAGGAGCTCTCACGTTTGGCGAGAGCACCAGAGAAGAAATAAAGGATAAAATAATCTTCAAGTGAGATACTCGGATTTAGGGACAGCCCGCCCGAGTTACTTCTTGTTTCAATTTTGTCTGGATTGCTTCCAGGCTGGGGAGCTCTGCAAGGAGAGGGAAGAGAGGGAAGGGTCACATCCTCCTGGAAAAGCCTCTGGTGCCTCCTGCAAGGCTGTGAGGAGCAGCCAGACCCAGACAAGGGCTCTGCTGGCCTGGGAATTGCCCAGCTGGCAGGAATGGGCTCTGGGGCTTGGGTCTGGACTGGCCATGGGCACCTTGGGGTGATTAAAGCCCTGCAAGGCAACAGGAACTGGAGCCCGAGGAACTGGAGCCTGAGGAATTCAGATGTTGAGCAGATCTGCACTTTTGGGTTCTCCCTGCCCTTTCTCCCCTCTCCCTGAGGCAAACCCCTCACCCAAGGAGCACCAGAAATGATGGAAGAGAAAAACCCCAGTGCTCCTGATTGGAAACAGCCTGTTCCTTTTGTCTGGGCTGGGTATATTTAACTGGTCCACTTCAGCTGCCAGAACACATTTGCCAAGGAAAACTTCCCCGTTTAAACCTTCCACTCATCTAAATAAGGAGAGAGGAGCTGGAAGCAGGTCCTGGCAGAGCCAGGCGGGATGGGAGCTGGCAGAAATAATCCACTTGGTCTCCTGCTTTTGTGGTGCCCTCCTGCCCTGTCAGTCTGGAACCCTCCCTGCTTT